TGTTGCGCCCGCGCCACTCTCAGCCAGTGAGCGGGAACCGGTCACCACATGGTATCCGAACCCTCTGCGGGAGCGCCACTGCGCTCCCAAGCAGCGCACTCTCCAGTGCGCCACCGGGCCGGCCCTCGAGGGGTTATTTTGAAGCCTAAATGCGATACTACATGGGGAACAATATTATCAAGGTGAGAGCACTGCCCAAACGAGTTCTAATCATCATTATAATATAGTGGCTTCTTGTTCCCATCTACTTTTCCCTGTTCCATCTGTCCCCACTCCAATTTCCACAAATATTTGTTGAGTGACAGCTGCTGTACTCCAAGGACTCTGCTGACTGCTTTTATTTAATTTTGTTTATTTAATAAGTTCTCCTAATAACCCTATGATGTGAGATTACTACCCCACTTTTCAGATAAGAAAGCTGAGACCCAGAGGTGTGGTGAGATTTGCTCGAAATCCAGCAGCCAGCAGGCTCCCAGCCCTGATCGTCTCCTCCTTGCTTTGTTTTTCACAGTCCAGCACCTCCTTTAACCGGGATGCTGTGAAAGCAGGAACTGGCCGTCGCTTCCTGGGTGGACTCCTGGACCACACTTCCTATTGCTATACCCTAGAGGTCTCCTTCTATAGCTACATCATCGGGGGCACCACTGCTGCTGTGCCCTACACTGAAGAAGCCTGTATCCTTGGCAGGTCCCCACCCAGCCCTGGGCCAGTCTTCATCCAGCTGAGAGTATCCAGGTCTGACAGGATTTATTAGCAGGTCAGGAATTAGGACCCCAGCTCAGGTAAGGGCTGAGACCCTGGGGTGAGGACGGAGGTGGCTGGCTCTTCTGGTGCCATATTTGTATTGTTCTGTTTGCCCCTGCCTTTCATGTGGACACTGCCTCCCTGACTGCCTCTACCCTGCCCCACGTCTTCCCCAGGGCCTGGGTCCCATGGCCTACCCATGTCTTATGCTGCTGTCACCTCTCGCTCCCCTCCCCTCTCTCTCGAGGCACTGAGCCTTCTGCCATCTCACGTATGTGAGTACACAGGCTGGACGACCCCCCAGCATTGCTGAGGAAGAGCCTGAGGATCTCGACTCCCCTGCTAACCCTGAACATACAAAACTGTGTCTTCTCTTTCCATCTTCTGTCCTCGTGTGCTCTCGCTTTCTCTTCTCCCTACTCCCGATTTGTCTTCTTACGTGTTTCTTCTTCCGTTTGTCCTTCCCCTTCTGTCTCCCTCCTCACCTGCCGTATGCTTTCCTCTCCCTGCTTATCCCCTTCTTCTCTGTCTCCTCTCTTCTCCACCCTCCTTTCCTCTCTCTCTCCTCTGCACCTCCCCTCTGTCTTCCCTGTCTCTGCCTGTGCCCTCGGGGCATCTTTCTCTCTGCCTTTGTATTTCCTTTGACAAATTGCTTTTCCTCTTAGTTTTCTCACAAAACTTATCTGAAAACTCCCAAGTTTGTCATAAAATGGGAGGCTGTATTCCAGCTTGCTGGACTTTTTCTAGGGATTATTTAGTCATTCTAGTTTCCTGAGTATTGATTTTAATTTCAAGGTCAGTACATCAGGGTTGTGACGGATTGTGACAGATTTTGTTTTCCTCTATTGTTTTGTTTTTGGATTGATCCATTTCTCCTTTTCTAATGCATTTTTTTCTCAGGGAAAAATTGTAGTTGAGGGAGGAAAAAGGAAAAGAATGAAATGAACTCTGTATATATGCAAATTCCCTCTCCCCGATTTTAATTTCAAGGTCAGTACATCAGGGTTGTGACGGATTGTGACAGATTTTGTTTTCCTTTATTGTTTTGTTTTTGGATTGATCCATTTCTCCTTTTCTAATGAATTTTTTTCTCAGGGGAAAATTGTAGTTGAGGGAGGAAAAAGGAAAAGAATGAAATGAACTCTGTATATATGCAAATTCCCTCTCCCTAGAAGTGGAAGAGCCCTTTTTAGGCTTTCGTCAGCCCTTGGTGAGTGTTCACATCCCTCTTGGTCCTGGCATGACTTAGCACAAGTCCACCCAGCCAATTGCAACCTAGTGACTTTGGGGGTCCAATTACCTTGCTGTGGACGTGGGAGGCAGGTTGACGATCCCAGAGGGAGGGCCAGCAGGGGGGCCAGGTGTTAGAGCAGTGTTCCAAATCTGGAGTCACTGAAACTGAGACAGTCATCTTGAAATCTGCTTTCATACCACCTGGCTCAGCAAGGCCAAGGAACCAGGCTCTGCCCTGAGGCAGAGGAATCGTGGTTTCCAAAGTCCTGGTGATCTGGTATGTGCCACACCATCCCTCCTTCCCCCCACCCACGTCCCATGCACATACTTGATGACATGTGGCCCATGACTTCTTCAGGATCCCTTAACCACTGTAATCCATGCACAGGTCTCATTCCACACTGCACCTCCTTTGCTCTCCCACAATATTGTGGCAAAGGAAGTAGAGGAAGTTGAGTGGAAGAAGAGTTTGATCCTGTTCACCAAACGGGATGATTCTGCAACTCTTATCCACAATGAGGCAAGTCACTGCAGAGGAGGCTCGCCCTTACTGTGTCATTGTTTTCTGATATCCAGCTTGAGGGGTTCTCCTACCCTCCTAGTACCTCTGACATACTTTTGTGTTGGAAGTAAATGTGTTTCTTAATAGAATGTCCTCCCTCAGCCCAGGCTCAGGGTTTGTGCTACTCAGCACCTAATCCTCATTCATTAAAAGCAAACACCACAATACCCAGGAATCATGCAATGTACCTAGGGTATTGAACAATAAAGCATGGTTCCTGACTCTCAGAACTTTCAGTCCACTTGAGGAGACAGAAAAGGAAAGAGACAATTATAATATGTGTGATAAGTTCTATGGTGGAGGAATTCGAAAGGCTATGGGATATTTCATTTAACAAATATATATTGAGTGCCTGCCGTAGGCCAGGTAAGTCCTAGGCACAGGGAATGCAGCAGTGAACATATTAAAGACAAAAAATGTATTCACAAGGGAGTAAGGGGAACTCAAACATGGTCCTGGGGGTCAGAGAAATTTTCCCAGTGGAAGAGCCATCTAAGCTGAGTTTTGAAGACTGTGTAGAAATTAGTCAACTTGGGTTGGAGTGTGTTGTTGGAGGGAGGACACTGCAGACAGAGAGAGGAAGGAAGGTGCACAGCAAGAGCTGCAGGTGGCCCAGGGTGGCTGCAGGACTTCAGATACAAGAGATAAGGCTGAAGTGTCAGGCTGTCAGGAATTTGAACTTGAATATGAAGGCAATGGGGAGCAATAGAAGGGTTTTCAATAGGGGTGGAAAGCCACTCTGGCTATGGTGGAGAGGATAGATTAAAGGGGCCGAGACGAGTCAGAAACATGCATTAGGAGATTGTTATGAAAATCCAGGTGGGCGATAATTCAGGCCTATACTAGGGTGATGGCTGCGGAATATTTAGAATGTGAACTAAGAAGACTTGGTAATTGATTGGGTGGAGGTGGCAGTGAGGAGCAGGAACCAGGGACTGGAAGGAGGTGAGGGTGAGCAGGCCGTGGTGCTGCTGCAGCCACCCTGCCTCACTGGGTCATTGGAGGATGAGGGGAGGAAGCTGGACTGCATCAGGGAAGCTCAGGCCAATTCAACACACACAAGGGTGACTTAGCCTGGTTGCTGTCTGAAGTACATTTTTTTAAACTCTCATCTCATAACAGAGGGAGACTTCAGGCAGACAGATTGTGATCTTTGTTTGCTGCTGGCTCCGTGTCCCAATCATAAAAAGAAATTACATGGTCTGATGGGAATGGCAATATGGTCTGGGAGAAAGTATCCTCTAGACTGGGAGTCAGGAGACCTGGATTCTGATGACAGCACCAGCATCATCCCAGAGAATGCCCTTCAGCAAGTCCTTTAACCTCTCTGGGGTGAACTTCCTTACCTTTACAAAGGGGCAAGGACCTTTGCACTTGTCTAACCCCTGCTATGGAAATTAAATATAGGCATTCACACAAAAAAAATATGGTGTTATGCAAAGAGAACAGACTTTAGATTCAGATGTACCTGGGTTTGCATCCTGGCTCAGCCGCTTACTAGGTGTGCCACCTGGGGCAAGGTATAACCTCACTGGGCCTCAATTTCCTAATCTGTAACAGGAGGACATAATAATATTTAATCTTACTGAGCTACCATAAGGTGTTAGAGCAAGAGGCCAGTGACTGTGTTGGCAGTGTTCATGAGACAAAAGTATTGGCACAGTCACCCCTGTTGAAGGCCTTGACCACAGAATGCCAACTGGTTCACACAGTGGGGGATGTGCAGCTCCCATAATAGAGTTTCTCGTGTCTGTCATCCAAGGTGCCTCTTCCCCAGTATCAGTACACATGGAAGCCAGATTAGTTAGCCACAGGATGTCGGATGATCGTAAGGTCAGGGAAGGACTGGGAAAGGCCGGGAATTCTAAGGAATATTTTACCTTGGCCACATAGTATCCACCTCCCATGGACCAGAGCATATGTCTGTCAGTTTGATTCTTCTCCCTGGAAAAGCAGCAGCTAAACACGACCAGAGTCTTGCTCCCTGACTTCCCTTCTCCACTACACTAGGAAAATAAAACAATGGACACAGTCCCTGATGCTTACTGAGCTGTGTGACCTTGGGCTTCTTATTGCACCACTGTGATCCTATTTCCTCATCTGTAAAATAAAAATGCTAATACCCACTTTGCAGGGTTATTGGGAGAGCAAAATGATGCACTACATCTGCAATCCCCTGATACTGCTTGGCATCTGGTAGGTACTCAGCAAATGTTCCTGTCCTCACTTCTCTCAGTCCCATGCAGACTACATGGCTTTCCATCTGCTGGTTGAGTCTGTAACCTAATCCGGCTTTGAAGCAGCAACTGAGGTGTGAATCCTAATTCCACCATTACTACTGGGTGGCTTTGAGCAAACCTTGTCCCCTCTCTTAGCCTCGGTGTCCAATACTTCCTACCCATCAGAGTTGTGGAATAAAATTACGTGTGAACCTGATCACTACTCTGATCCCTTCTAGCTCTGACATTCTAAAATTTTTCTGATTCTAAAATCTGAGTTATGGAATTCCACACTTAGATAAATTTATTCCAGACTTAGACAAATTTATGATATCAAGAATCTGTAATTCTGTTATGTAGTGAGACTTAAGAGTCAGTGATTCCATGAACTTAAGAGTTTCTAATCTAGGAAGGAAACTGATGAGCTTCAAGAAAGGCCCATGAATCGTCTACAATGTATGCAGAGCTATGAGTACATCTGCAGAGTTCATTTCCTTGGAGGAAGGCCATGGCTTTCAACAGAACCTAAAAGAAGGGCTTCCTCTGAGGCTCCTTCTCTGGCTAGTGGCAAGAAAACTGCTCTGGTGTCAGAGTCCTGGGTGTGAGTTCGGCTTAGCATCATTCTCTCTGAGGGCCCTAGTCCAGTATTCAATCTCTCTGAACCTCAGTTTCTTCACCTGTAGCATGAGGATAATGATTATTTACTTCACAGTGCTGTTGTTAAGGTGACATGGGAAAATGCAGATGAATCACTGGGCACATACTCGATGCCATTAAATATTTGTTCCTTTGCCTTTCCTTCCTGTCATTTGTTGTTTTTGTTGTTGTGAAATGATAAATTCCTGAGAATTTGGGGCCATTCTTTAGCAAACCCTACTTATATTTTACTGGCCTGCCAAGTAATAAATATGCTCTGTTCAAATGATTTAAAAGAGAGAGAGAGAAAGACTAAATTGGAATCATAAAGTA